ATTTGGGAATGAATGACTCTTTTGAATTGGTTCTTTTTGTGATTTAGTTGAACTGGCCTGAATTTAGTTCGGCAATTCTTCCAGTCTTCCTCGCAATCACAGACACTGCCAGGGAAATAACCGTAGCTGTTAGCATAAAACAGAGTCTTTTAAGGCTCTTTTACACCAAGGACTGTAACTCTAATGATAAAGATGTTGTTTTAAAAATTCCAAATGTGAAAAAATTATACAGTCCACACCACAATTATAATGATTACGGCACAAAGAAACCTATTGTTGGAATCACTTTCAGAATGTTTTTTTTTTCAGCTCATGAATGATAAAAACATTGAAAGCCAATCAGAATCCATCCTGCACTAAATCGCTTGAGCATTTAAAAACTGCAGTGCATGCTTATAATAAAGAGAACATTATCATGCATTAGTGCTAATATAGTTATCATTATAGTTACATTTATAGTTATCGTTCTTGGTGTGAACCGGCCTTTAGATCAGCATCTTATAACAGGTTGTTGCGAAATGGGCGGAGCCAATTTGCAAATGTTAATTCCACTGACTGGTGCTCAACCAAATCAGTCCAAACCCCGGCCCATAGCCGATTTCATTGGTCAGCTCAATCACACCGTCACCTGTCAACAAAAGTTCAAACTTTAGAAAAATCATGGATGGATCTGATTGTGCCAAAAGTAATTTTATCAGAAAACCTCTACCAGCAAAGTTTATGGTTTAAGGAGGAGGTTTAGAGGTTTAGTTTTTCTGCGTTGTGCAGGCAATTTGCCCTGTGATTGATCTGACCAATGAAATCTTTATAAATGATATTTTTTTTTAAAAAACATCTTCCTATATTTTATATATCACACATGAAAATAGTGTAGCTACACTACACTGAGCCTTTCAGCTAATGTTTCTATAGAGTAGTTTGTACCTTAGCAATCTACATTTCTTTATGTAGCTTGCCCAGTTCTGTTTGGCAGATGATTTTATTGAAAATGACTTGCAGTGTATTTAAGGTAAATGTTTTTTTTTTTTTTTTTAAAAAACATCTTCCTATATTTTATATATCACACATGAAAATAGTGTAGCTACACTACACTGAGCCTTTCAGCTAATGTTTCTATAGAGTAGTTTGTACCTTAGCAATCTACATTTCTTTATGTAGCTTGCCCAGTTCTGTTTGGACAGTAAATTACTGTTCGATCTACAAGCCATGTTTTCTTCTTTGGGTCAGCCTCTCTCTATATGATATCACAACTTCGATTAAGCCTGGGAGTCAGTACCTTCTAAATGTTTAACTCTCACCACCTAGGGCTATCGGCACATTGAAGCAGAAATGTAAAACAGTCTTGGAACAGCAGTGGCGCAGCAGATTTTTGCTGAAATTCAAATTCCCTAATCCCAAAATGGCCTAATTATGGGCTATGGCTTTTGAAAGCAGAGGAAAAGCTCTTATTCTCATCTCCTACTTATTTTGACAAGCCTCCTCAGGTTAGTGTCTCGGGTTGTGGATGCTGTTTTGATAAGTAGATAGATTTTCCTACGGATTGAATGTGCTGGTGTGATGATACGTTAAATTGCATATATATGCAAATGGAGCATTTATCGTATAAGCTGATATAGGTGCACATCTCAGACCAGAAGAAATGCATATCGTGGCCATGATACCTAAGGCTTCACAAATAGGCTGTATTTTTATGCAGCCAACCAGAAGCTGTAGACATTTTCATCCACAACCATGCTCTTTATGAAGTTCACAAATAATGTATGACAAACCGTGGTGACAAAGCATCCAATTTGCATAAATATCCCTCTCAGAGTTGAGGCAGACTGATGGCCAAGATACATTCAGATAAGTCTTTAATAAGGGTTTCATGTCTGTTTTTGATTAGTATCAGCACTGAGGGAAAGGCAAGATAATAATTCAAGGAAAGAGAAAAAAACTAGCCGCCCCCTTTGGTTTCAGAATCATCCGAACATCATTAAGAATTTTCGAACGTGTCTTTCTATTAGGGTGACTTGAGCCATTCCCAATTGTATAATGACCTTAGTATTGAATCGCTGTGCTGATCCTCATGAAATGCTCATCTTCAAAAGGTTCTCTCAAAAGGTTTTTTATCATTTTAATTGCAGGCCACGTTGCTGTCAAGGCAAACAGACGACCAATTCTTCCTTTTCATGGCTAAGCTCTTTTTTTCCCTCATAGCCATTGCTGCATGCAGTTTTCTTTGCGCCATGCTGTTCTGATAAACAAAGAAATGTGTCTACAAGGAATTTGTATCAATAAATGCCATTAAATAAGGTGTATGAGGCGATGAGGTGTCATTGCATTCTAGTAGGCCCTTGATTTCTTTTTTTCCTGTTTGACCTCAGCCTTTAAATTTTTATGAACGTCACCAAATCCAGACAAGCACTTTCTATATCCTTTTATATGCTTTCCATGCTCTGTGGCATAAACTATGTGCACAGGACCCCTTTGGGAAGAATTATTTACCGTACATAACAGTGAATTATGACTATGTCTGAGATTTACAATGCGCAGGGTTGCACTGATTCAGTGAATTTCACATACTGTATAGTTGTTGCCTGAATAAATGCTACATAATTGATGCACTCTGCCATATATTATGCAGCAACTGTCAACATGTGAAATCAACTGAAAAAATAATAAAGAGTTGCTATAAAGGACAATGTGTGTGTGTGTGTGTCTGTGCATGAGAGAGAGCAAGAGAGAGAGAGAGAGAGAGAGAGAGAGAGAGTGCTGAGAGTGAAGAGAAAATGATTTCTTCCCTTTTTTGCAGGGGTCACCAGAGAGCGCTCCAGAAGTACAGGCAGATGGCTCACACCCTACACGCTCAAAACACTGTGACAATCCCCAACAACTCCTCTGAGAGAAGGGTAATTAAATACCGAATTTAATCAGATTCTTCAAATTAAAGTCCAGTTGGGCAGCTCTCCCAAACTCCCCTGCTGTTCCCTGTCCCATAGCAGTTTTTGTGGCTGTCTTTGGAGAAAACCGGAGTTTTCACACAGACACACAGGCTTTGAGCACTGGTGAGTGGTGAGAAAACCTCGGAGTGATAATTAGCGATAAAGTGTTCAACTTACAGCTCTGACAGGGTGATGGAGAACCATTGGCCCATGAGAGCCCTCCGGGATCTTGACCTCACAACAAGGACGACAACATTAATTCATTCTCACATTAATTTTTTTTAAGCTGAGATACAGTAATTCTGTTTTTTTTTTTCTTGTTTTAACTGTTTTTTTTTGTCAAATATTATAAACATTAAGTTATATCAATGAAAGAAAAAAATTTAATCAATAGTTCACTCAAAAATGAAAATTGTGGATTATTGTGATGTTTTCTGCTGTTTGGACTCTCATTCTGACGGCACCCATTCACGCCAGAGGATCCATTGGTGAGCAAGTGATGTAATGCTGAATTTCTCCAAATATCTTCCGATGAAGAAACAAACTCACCTACATCTTGGATGGCCTGAGGGTGAGTAAATTTTAAGCAAATTGAAATTTTTGGGTGAACTATTCCTTTAATTGTCTGCCGAACTAAAAATATCTATTTAAAGTAACAATTGCACAGTGATTAACAAAAGATTATACATACAGTCTCTTAATAAGTGACAGTGTTGTGAAATGGGAGTCGTCAGCACCATGGATAATGCATGACAGCTTGGCAAACTTTCAGCACCTTGGAGAGCGACAGTATCAGAGGCCAGAATGTGAAGCAGGGATAGAAGCTATGGCTTTTCTAACAAAAAGGCTTTTTCTAGCTAAATATAGCTATACATTGTTTTAACTGAACTGTTGGCAAGTGGGAAATTTGAGCACTGCTGAAATCTGAGAAGCACAGAATATGCCGTGTAAACCTTCTGTCAACATTGCAGAGTAATTTTGACTCTCGTCGTCCAATGAAGAGTGCAGGGCTGAATGACAATGCAGTGGCTATTGAGTTCTACTGACAGTGGCAGGATATAAAAGGATGTCCCGAAATCATTTGGTTCATGAAATTAGATGGAAACACAAATTTGGTAAGATATATCATTGTTGTAGATTTTGTCTTTTGTTTGCAGTATACAAATAAAGAGCTGTCCCAACAGTATAATAGTGTATAATTAAACAATATCACACTAGCAAATGTTGTTGCTCTGAAATGGGATACAGGCTGTGGTTACTAGCATTACACAGAAAGCTGGTCTTGAACAGAATATATGAGTGGAGTGACTAAGACTTTCTGCTCAAAACGTTCTATAATTATGGATCCAGCTCCAGACAACTGTCAGAATGTGAAATCCTTATAAAACCCTTACAAGTCCTTATAACTCTGTATTTATATTGCTTTCATACATTTTTGTGCCATTTTTAACACATTTAATTTAATAACAAAAAATGTAAAGTGGTGAAACCAGTAATGGTATATATGCGTGTAAACAAATTATATATAAAATAAAATATAATAAATAAATAAATTATAATATAAATAATTAAATATGAATACATAAATTACATAAAATACATAAATTAAATATTTAAAATTATCAGGAATTTTGAGTTAAACATTTTAAGAAGTTTATTAAGACGTTTTTAAGGGTTATTCCATTTGGCCTGAAAAAAGTCTTTTCACAAAAAAATCAAAATATTTGATAATATCACCACTAAAACTTTTTTTAAAATTATTATTATTATTTTATTATCTGTGTTTTTGTACTGTCGCTGATATTCTGTTGCACTGCGGAAGCTTCTGTCATGAAAACAAATTCCTCGTATGTGAAAACATACCTGGCAATAAAGCTCATTCTGATTCTGATTCTGATTCTGAAAACCAGCAAAAAATAAAATAAAATATTATATATATATATATATGTTTATAGACTTAATTTTCATTATAAAAAAGGTGTAAAAAAACCCCAAAACATACGTCATCGGTCCCACTAAATATGCATGTTTGGAACGCCGCTTTGACCAATCAGATTTCAGGAGCGGACCTAATGACACACTACTTTTAGAAAGACACACATGAGAACAGTCTTGTGCTTCAGTTGTCCAGTAGCCAATCCTCGGCTTTCTTCGGCAGGCGTGCAGAACCACAGCCTTCGGCGCTAGGATCCAGAAGGCAGGGCTTTGATTTCTCAACTAATTCCTCTGGCAAAACACGAAACGCTCATATGCACAACTTCCTGGTTAGAGAAGCGGACCGCGCTGAATGTGATCGCAGACTGACTTTGTAGATGCGCGAGAGCGAGAGGCACACAAGAGGAACGAGCGTCTGAAAGTGCGTCCGGTTGGGATTAACTTGAGAATGTAAAGAGAATGTAAAGGACGCCTCAGAGAGCAGAAGTGTGTGCGGATTGTGGGCAGTCCGAAATGTCCCACGAAACAGGCACAAGATTTGTCGCCGGTCATTGAAATCGCCTCGATCACTTGTAATTATTTTGGTTAGTCAAGTTAGTGTGTTTCCTTCATTGACGCTCAATTTGTTCTGCCATTCCGTGTTGCTCTAATCGCGCATTTGGACATGTGGAGACTGCGAGGATCGTGTCGTGTGGGGATGTTGTGTTTGACTTTATCAGCCCTTCTCATCCAACCCATCAGCTGTCATCCCGGTAAGAGAGGCCTTTGTGGTTAATATTTTATGATATGAACGGTGATTGTGGGATATTTCAATGCAAAAAGTTGTGTTGAATGAGCAGGTGCGTTCGTGTCGATCAGTGTCGGAGATCATAAGGCATTTAGAGTGATCGTGCATGTTTAAGGCAAATAGTGCCTTGCAAATCAAAAGGATCTTAACTGTAGATGCTGCAATTCAGTATTTAATAGGGTGCATATGATTCATGAAGGTCAGTTTCGTAGTCCTCTGCTCTGTGGCAGAAGTAAAGGCTTTAGCAAGATCTCGGAGATCATAAGGCATTTAGAGTGATCGTGCATGTTTAAGGCAAATAGTGCCTTGCAAATCAAAAGGATCTTAACTGTAGATGCTGCAATTCAGTATTTAATAGGGTGCATATGATTCATGAAGGTCAGTTTCGTAGTCCTCTGCTCTGTGGCAGAAGTAAAGGCTTTAGCATGGTCTCACGGACTTGTTCCCAAGGTGATGTCATCCAGGCTATGTGGAAGGTGTCCAGAAACTCGTAGATTTGACTTCTAATGAGGAAGTAGTTAGTATTATTATTTTTTTTTTATGTAATTGATTTGTATTATTTTTATTTTATATAACAATTTATTATTTTATTTTTTATTGTATTTATTTGTTCTTTACAGTACATTGATCAGTGTAGCTGAATTTAAATGTGCTTTATAAATAAAATGTACTTATTCTATTATTTAGATTTTTAAATCAAATTTAATTACATTTGACTTTTTTTAAATTTATGGCTTCCTTATATCAGCCTGCAAGATTGACGTTTAGAAATGCTTCTCTTATAATTTGTGCATATACAATTAATCTGAATAGTAGGACAATGCTTACGTTTTTAAGATGTTGTTCATACAGGTTGTGAGCAGGTGTACTGTTAAAGGTTTTCATCATTACAAAAGCATCTTTATTTTCCACCCATTTAACCTGTCGCAGTAATTTCTGTGATTTGAAATTTGGTACCACTTAGATTTTACTCTAATATCTGCCTTAAATTAAGTTTTTCATTTTTTTTTCTTCAGTGAATATTTTTAACAGTGATGAAAAAAAGCAGCTTAAACCAGCATACGTTGGTTCGCTGGTCTTACGTGGTTTGAGCTGGTCTCCCAACCTGGCCAAGCTGGTATTTAGCTGCCAGCCTGACCATCTAAAAATACCAGCCAAAAGAGCATCTTGACCAGATGGGAAGACCAGCTAAACCATCTTATGGACCATTTGATCAAACATAACTGACATATAGAATCTAGTTTAATTACCATTGGTTTTCCTAACTAGGGCTGTATCCACCATAGACATTAAAGGGAACTATTGAATGTTCTTATTAGTGGTTGACCAATATCACATTTGGTTCCCATTAATATGTGCCTATATTCTCATCCCTAACCACTTCTGGTCATGTGATGTGAGAATATGATTTTAATTGTTCTGCATTATCATTGCCATCACATTACCATTGTACAGAAACATTATGAATCATGTCAGCAATTACAGCCAAGACAAGTAGTTCTCTTTAAGCATCACATATGCCAAATTTCCCTTTTAGACTGTGGCTCTTGGACACTCTTGACATCATGTGCGCTTAATGAGCATAGTAAAAAAAAATCCAAGCAATGGAACATGATAACAAATTGAACACACCAGACATTTTCGCCACTGCCGAGGCGGCACTGAAATTAACTGAAAAATGTGTTGGGCCTTTATTACTCATGGATAATAGCCTTAGCAGATGAACGGAACATGGCGGACATCGCAAATCAGTGTTTCCTTTTCCTGTCCCAGCCCTCATTAGCTTTTATTTGAGTACAGACACTCGCTTTTGTACACTGTCACAGATCCCATCCCTATATTTCTATTAGTGGTATCATATTTCAATAGCTGACAGTGAGCTGAGATGGTCAACATGTAGGGCAATGGTTAAACCGCAAGTTTATAACCTCTAATGGTAACAGCCTGTTACATCAGCTTGCGTAATGGTTTATGGGGAGATGTTACATTTGACATCAAAATCAGAACAGATGTTTTATTCTTATTGAAGACAGGCTGGCCACTGGGCATCGCGTTCAATGATAAAACTTTCTGGCCAAAGACTGTTCCCCATGTCTTCCCCCGAGCTGATCAGAAATGAAAGGGCACTTCATTATTTGGTTCAGGAAGGGCTGGGACATCCGATTATGTAATTCTTTTTGTTTCGGGATTCCATTTGAATTATATATTGTTTGTGTGGCTCTGATTTTGCTTACATTGTGGTGACCAAATATATAGCAGCTTAAAACATACACCACTGGTCAAAAATTAGGAATAAATATGATTTTCTAATGTTTTTAAAAGAAGTCTTTTATGCTCACTAAGGCTGCATTTATTTGATAAAAATACAGTAATATTGTGAAATATTATTACAATTGAAAAGAACTGTTTTGTATTTTAATATATTTTAAAATGTTATTTTTTTTCCTGTGATGGCAAAGCTGAATTTTCAGCAGTCTTCAGTTATGCATAATAATATTGCTGCTCATTATAATAATAATGATGATAATAATAATAATAATAATATTGCTGCTATTATGATTAATATTGTTAAAACGGTTATGTTATTAAAACTGTTAAATGTTTTTTTGCTGCTTAATATTTTTGTGATTTCAAAAGATTGGGATAAGTAAGATAAAAAATGTTCAATAATAAGCAAGGATGCATTCGATTGATCAAAAGTCACTGTCAAGACATTTATAATTTTGCGAAAGATTTATATTTCAAATAAATGCTTTTCTTTTAAACTTTCTATTCATCAAAAATTCCTGAAAAAAAGTATAATGGTTTCCACAAAAATATTAAGCAGCCAAACTGTTTTCACCATTGATAACAACAATAATAACCACTATTAATAATAGATCTCCAATAATAATTGAGCATCAAATCAGCATATTAAAAAAATGACTTCTGAAGGATCATGTGACATTGAAGGCTGGAGTAATGACGCCGGAAATTCAGTTTTGCTGCACAGGAATAAATTACATCATAAAATATATTAAAATAGAAAACAATTATTTTAAATTGTAATAATACTTCACAGTATCACAGTATTACTGGACATTACCACAGTCAATCACATGCCTTAGTTCACATCCGAGCAGGTTTTGTGTAAAATGTAATGCGTACTCTCGAGCTACTACCTGCTCCTGAGCATTTGTAGATGTCTTTAAACTTATATCAAATGCATAGTTTAAATTTTTCATTTATGTGTTCTTTCGCGCTTGCAAAAGAAGGTCAAAGATCTCCAAACCCTGTGGGGAGCGTCTATCATCTCCTGGCCGACACCACAGGACGCTTCTGCTTGACACCAGTATCCATCAAGGGCCTCTTGTCAAAAGACACTGGATTTTTAATGCTCTACCTTGCCCTTCAGTCTCTGTTGCCGCACTCTCGCTCTCCTCTAATGAGGAGTCCTTTCCTGTGTGATTGAAAGGCAGTCGGTGCAATAAAATCAGAAAAGAAGCCCTCTACTCCTCTGCCATTCTTATCCACCCATCACCAAAATCCTGACCTGCATACAAAGAGCCTGTTAAGCGTTTAATTGAAAGCAGAGAGTAAAAAATCAATACGCAGGAAGCTTTAAAAATAACGGGAAGCAGTGATCCAGATCCATATTTTATATCCACAGATGGGTGTAACTTTTACATATGTCGCTGGCTCACTTTAGCGTGCATTTTACAGTCTTTTTAAACTAGATTGGTGTTTGACTGTGGGCAAGTGCTTTAATAGAGTGGTTTAAAGTTTTAGTTCCCTGGCTGATCACTCCTGTTGTAACATGCATTTTAGACTCAGATATGTCTTGTTCTGTGAATAAAACGCTGGCATTTCGCCCCACTGTTTGTATTTCAAGTATGAAGCAGTGATGATTTGACGAGATGCCTTAAGATATGGTATGGGATTCTGCGTTCTGTTGTGTCTTATTCTAGGATTCTGAGATGTGTGTGTGTGCTTGTTTCTGCTTCGTCAGCAGTATGTTGTCAGCAGGGAAAAGATTCAGGAGGGACGTCTCTCTTCCTCCCATCTCAGGCCTTATTTTGCATAGTCATTTATTTTTATTTGATCATGACCATCACATCTGGCATTAAAATCCAAACAATTCTAAAATGCCTACATGATATTTTCAGCTTACTTGTAGGAATGGACAGTATACATTTTTGCAGATAAGTAGATAATTTCTATCATGTTATGGCTGCTAAATAATTACTGTATTAATTTACAAAGATTTTTTTTTGGGGGGGGGGGAAGAAATTAATACATCTATTCAGCAAGGATGCATTAAATTAAATCCCATTTCAAAGAAATGCTGAACTTTCTTTGAATCAAAGAATCTTGGAAAAAAGTATCACTGTTTCCACAAAAATATTAAGCAGAAAAAAAAGAATTTCACATTTACAATAATGTTTCTTGAGCATCAAATCAGTAGAATGATTAGAATGATTTTTGAAGGATCAATCGCAGGAATAAATTACATTTTAAAACACAATAAAAAACAACAACAGTTATTTTAAATTTAAATAATATTTCACAATATTACTGCCTTGGTGAGCATTAGAGACTTCTTTCAAAAAATTTAAAAAAAAATCTTACCAACCCCAAACTTTTGAACAGTATTTTATTGTGCATCCATACTTATTTGTGTTTTTTTTTTTAAATATATATTGTAAAATTGAAAAATATTACAATATACTCCTATTGATATACTTAGGTTTTAAAATATTAAAGTTCAATGCAGAACTCGTTCTGCACCATTGAAAGATACTCCAATTGTGTAGGTAGTTGAAGTGCTCAATATGTGTGATCACATTTATAAGCTATTAGATGATTTTCACCTGCTGGATCATAAAATCCCTTCCCATTGAAAGAGGGACTCTAGTGAATATCATACACACTTGCAGGTAGCTCTTTTTACTTCTACTAATAAGTGGCCACTTAGCAACCACCCAG